CTCAGGGGAATCGACCGGGTAAACAAGGATAAACTATTCAACACTGGTAGGACGCGAACAATGGGACACAGGTGGAAACTGAGTACCCACATGAGCCACAGGGACGTTAGAAGGAATTTTTTTCAGTGTCAGAGTAGTTAACGGATGGAATGCATTAGGCAGTGATGTGGTGGAGGCTGACTCCATACACAGTTTCAAATGTAGATATGATAGAGCCCAGTAGGCTCAGGAATCTGTACACCAGTTGATTGTCACTATTCACTGCAGTTGAGAGGCGGGACCAAAGAGCCAAAGCTCAACCCCCGCAAGCACAAATAGGTGAGTACACACACACACCAAAACACACCCATGTAATTAATATACCCAACTCATAAGGCACCCAGTCACAGCCCCGCTCCTGTGCCAGGTAAGTCCACTATGGGCTCACCATAGCCCGTGCTACTTGCAACTTTGTGTTCCCACTAGCTAAATCTAAAACAACAACAACATCTTAAGATGCAACACCGAAGAGGTAAGAAAAAAAACTCATCCTCGGTAACATCTTCAGAGATGCGCACAGGACCGGCGCACACAAAAAACGGGAACAGGTTCCCAACACCGGGTATATAAGAGGGAGGACTTGCCTCTCCTGCCATAACCCGTCGCTCCACACCTCTAACTGCGTCGTTTGACAGCCTACCGTCGCTTCATCTACCATTACCCACCACCACGATGATAGGCCTAGTGAGTACTCATTTGTCTCCCTTAATAGTCAGTTACAATAATGTCTTTGGGAATAGGCGTGTGAGATAGATATCTATTGAGATACGACATCTATTTTCACTTTTAAACGTTAAGGGACTATTTTAATGCGCATGAGAATCAGAGCCTATTTTCTTGAACGATACAATTTTCTTTACATATGCGAGTATTTGCATTATCAAGTTACTTGATAAGGGTCAAGAACGGATGGAACCGTTGTCAAATACGTCACATTAGGCTCTAGGACGGACCAACCGTTGTCATATACGTCACATTAGGCTCCAGGACGGACCAACCGTTGTCAAATACGTCACATTAGGCTCCAGGACGGACCAACCGTTGTCATATGCGTCACATTAGGCTCTAGGACCGACCGAAATATCGTCACTTTCATTTCGTATGTGGACTGGGTTATATATAATAATAATAATAATTCACTGTGTCGGGGGACAGGAAGCCAGAGTGTATTTATAGACGTTAGGCTGTTATCTTGGTCCCCCCCCCCCCAAGGTCGAATTACAGAACCCGCCCAGGATGCCACCCCACAACTAGCTAACTAACTCCTACTTGCTGCTAGGTGAACAGTTACATTAGGTGAAAGGTAATGTGTCCATTCCTGTCTATACTATCGTGGAATCGAACCTGGGATCCTAGACTGTCAGTAGAGAAGGAAACAGTTAACATTAACGCGAAAAGTAATTGCCTGGTGTAAATTTTGCGTTTATGATCAATACAGTAACTTTCCCTGCTTAAGGAACGAGCAAATTTCTCACACCGAATTTCGTTAAGTAAGTCGGGCTAATGCCACGTTTACTACCTCCTAAAATATATATTTGAAACGTGAATATTTTGGTAAGAATTTATTGACGTATTTAAAATGACGTCCCAGGATGTAAATTCTCGTGTTTTAGTCCCCCGTCCTATTGCCAGAAGTTAATCTCGTTGTTTATGTTAAATTCCATTTTTTTTTATTTTGAATATTTTTTGGTATATAAATTTTTGTTTATTGTTAGAGGTGAACCATTCGTTACCTATCGTTAGCTTCATTGGTTGTTATATATTTGTTAGCTTATTATTACGCTATTGTTTGTTTTGATAATCGGCCTCAATTTGCATATAATACTTTAATAATTCGATGAGGCTTTGCATTTTTGGGTACAGGAAACCCTTATTGAAGTGTCCCTTAGCCAATAACTGTCTAACTACCACACACCTACTTACTCCCATTGAACAGATGCATTAGGTGAAAGGAACCGTTGCCCAAATGTGTCGGTACTGCCGTAGAAATTAAACCAAAAACCTATTGGTTGTAAACTAGTATTATCCCAACACTAAACGTTTTAGTTGAATAATTGTAATGCTTTCTATAATGTTAACATATATTTATTCTGAAATAATAATAATAATGACCTCGGACAATGAACATTGTGACCACAGACTATGAACAGTGTCTGTAGTCAAAATATAGTGTCATGTCAGAGATAAATACGAAATGATAGAGAGACTGTATCACTGCATTAGTGAACCAGTAGACGGAAAGCCGTGTCTTAGGAGCTGAAACTCAACCCTGTATATATTATACAGGAGGCAGTCAGACTACAGGACATTGTCAGACAACAGAAGTCAGACCCAAAAATGACCTTTTCTCAAACTATCGAAAAGATGCACACAATGGTATTCACGTCTTTTTTCTTTTGTATACTTTTTACTCTCCATCGAAGCAACCAAAAATGTATATTTGTTCTACTTTTTCCAGGTTGTGCTTGCTGTTGTGGCGGCAGCGGCGTCTGCCTCGCCCCTGGCCCAAGGCGGCCGCGACGTCTACATCAGGGATTCATCAGAGGAGATCAGATGGTGGGTGATGTGGTGGGGGTGAGGGAGGAACGGGGGCAGGATAAGAGGTTGGGGGGAGGAGAGGAAGACGGTGGGGAGGATGAGTATATGAGTAACATTAGGAAAGTTAAAACAGCCGTGAGGAAGTGGATAGTATAGAGGTCTAGAAGAGGACCTACATGAGGGAGTGAGCAATGGTAGAAGCCTCGAGGAGGACCTACACGAGGGAATGAATGGCTAGTGGCAGAGGACTCGCGGAACACCCGCTTGAGATAGTGGGAAGCAGAGACCTCGAGGAAGTCCTGTACGAGGGAGTGGGGAATAGAGACCCTGCAATAGTCTCCGAAAGAGAAAATTTGAACGGTGGGAGATAGTGCCACATTTCGCGAGGCTATCATAAAGTCATGACTTGCTTGTTTAATGAACCTTAAACCTTTAAATGAACCTTTGAACCTTAAACTGTTGTATGACTAACGAGCCAAGTCCAACCTGATCTGTTTACACCAAGCATGAAACGCAGCAACACGCAAGTGGGCAGCAGCGTCTGCTCTGACCATGACATTTCTCTCGTATTCTTCATAAAGAATGAATTCAGGATATTCAAGCTCGTAGCACAAAGCATGGCAAGGTATTGTACACTTAGTAAGCCACTTGAGAGACGGTGGCCCCTCAGGTAAATACTGACAAATCATTGGAGAATGCAGTCTTACCTTGAGCCGAAGAAGCCTAGTCACTCAATTATGACATTTTTTGCTGACATTCTCTGATGTGGATCGTCGTGGTTCCTTGGAGCAGCGTGCTGGTAAGACATCTTTTAATATTAAGGAGATCTCAGAGCTCTTCCACGGAGACGTGTGTATGTGCAAATGTTAATTCTATACGGTTAAATTTCCTTGTCAGCAGCCTCGCCATGTGCAGCTTGCGGAATATGTAAGAGTTTTTTCGTAAGAGAATCTTTTCCAGCATTAAAATGTTCGGTTAATTTAACTATGTCAGTTTTATAATGTCTCCACCAGTGCTTTTCACCGTCAAAGATGCCACAAAATCGGTCCCAAGAAAATTCAGTAGAAAAGGCACGTTCTCCATCAGCACTTTTAAGACTATTTGAGCGAGAATGATCATTTTAACGTTCCTAAAATTATGAAGACTCATTGCACTATGTTCCTTGAAAATTCACTGTTAAATATCTTGCCAATCGCACAAGCATTTCACCGCAAAACAACACTTGAATTGTGTTAGAATTCACAGCAACGTAACATCTAGCCTAGCCTTAGGCACGAGTAATATTGTTCCAACTCACAGCATTCGGCACAGTAGCTGTCAACACAGCATACTAAAGCAAAATAAATAATAACCCCGATTTCTCAACAATTGTGCAGCTCAGAGCACTGTTTTGGGCACAGAACGCGTGAGCACACAGCATCGTCAGCCCTGAGTTTCAGCACAACAGCCTAGCTCAACACAGCTTCGGCCAGCACAACTGCCTAGTTCAACACACAGCTTCGTTAGCACACAGCTTCGCTCAGCACACTCCCTCGGTCGTCACAACAGCCTAGCTTAGCACACAGCAACAATGCGTTAAGGTGTTGTGGTGAGCGCTGAGGTGTCTGCGCGGGGTATGGTGGCGCCCCCCCGTATCAGCTGGGTATGAAACGCGTCAACAAACGGCTGTGCTAATTAACGTGTAAATATTTTTGTATTATTGTTATTTTGACGTGTATCCTACATGCTTATGCCACGGCCGAATAATATTTTCTATAAATCAATTATCAAGTATGTAAATTATTGACTAAAGCATTTATTAAGGTACTGATAATTAGGTGGGTTGCCGCTTTGCAAACTCAACATGTACGCTTGTGAAATGCTGGTTAGCATTGAAAAGGTGATTAGGGCATCTATGTATGATTTGTTCTCGATTTGCAATCAGGGAAATCTTGGGTTCGCATCCCAGGCAGGACCTAAGTGGTTGGGCATGTTTCCTGTGACTTAATGACTCTATTTACTTACCAGTAAATAGGAGTTAGTCAGCTTGTTGTGGGGCTGCATACTAGGGAAGGTCAGTAGTCTGACCCTGGGGGGGAACCTTCGGTATAAGTCTAACGTAACGAATAAAAGCTGCCTGTCCCCGATAAAATGAATTATTGATTATTCATATAGTCCTATGCAATTCATGTCTATTTTATCTGGTAGACCATTTTTAGCGTTGTTGGGGGCGGAAAGTTGACAAGCCTGAATGGCTACCCTATTTCCATACAATAATTGTGTAACTATATTATTACACTGGTTTATTTATTATTAATGCTATGTTATTTTGACTGCGATTTAATCAAATAGATGGTGTTTGTGAAATTTTCATATCTAGTATTGTTACCCATTCATGACTTTCATTTTTTATGACTACATTTCTATAGAAAACTAATTTTATCGGTGACTAGCTAACATTTTATTAGTATTATGATGTCAACAAAACCACTTCTGCTGATATAATAATACTTATAATAATTCATTGTCTAGGGGGACAGACAGCCAGTGTATATATACATGTTAGGCTTATATCAAGGTAACCCCCCCTCCAAGAATGCAACTCCACAACCAGCTAACTCCTGAGTACCTATTTCAGGCGTAGGGCCGCGGCCCCAACAGCCTTGGGGTCCGGACTCATCAAGAGCGCCTTCAAGCCTGGCACCCTCCCATACAACATTGTTCTGGACAGCCCTGAGGACCTGGTCTACATCCTGAATCAAAACAACGTGAGTTTAGCGCCTTGCTGCTCCAGATTCTTGTGTTCAGATTATCCTTAAATGTGTAATTTACGCACTCAAACATGCGCACTCATAAGCACCCTATGCCCCTGTTACCTAGCAGTAAATAGGTACCTGGGAGTTAGTCAGCTGTCACGGGCTGCTTCCTGGTGTGTGGTGTGAAAAAAATAGTAGAAGTAGTTAGAAACAGTTGATTGACAGTTGAGAGGCGGGCCGAAAGAGCAGAGCTCAACCCTCAAAAGCACAACAAGGTGAATACAAGCACAACTAGGTGAATACACACGCACACACACACACACACAAGTATGAGAGGGAATAATGAACCAGACAGACTTGTTCTGGTAATCACCCTGAACGAGTCAGACATTAGGGAAGTCAAATCAGAACCCACCATAGCCAAGAGTGACCAGGCACTGTGTCTTAACATTTGAGTATCTGGTGGAAGTAGGATTAACCAATCCAAGGAATGGACCGAAAAGTAAAAGGCTGGAATACCGAAGGGGAAACTATGATGAGATTAGAAACTTCCTAACAGCGAAAGACTGTCTCCCATACCATGGGAGACAGAACTCAGAAAATCAAGACAAATGACGGTTAGAAAGACGGGGTACAGGAGCTAACGGTTCGATCCTTGTGGCACAAATATTAAATACAAATATTAAATCCATACACACGCAGACTCTCCGGCACACAAACACTCCCTCAGAAGAGTGAGAACATTGTATTAATCTAAGAAGATTCGGAAGCCGGGGGCTACGAGCCTAGCTCGACCCTGGTTGTACATATAGACTTAGGGCAATGAAGAACATTCAGGTACATTAAATCAAGGACCTAGTTGGTACACTGCTCTTCTCATCACAGCAGCTGCTGTACCAGGTGTTGCTGTGGTCTTGATACACTCTGCTCTACCCACCACAGCAGCTGCTGTAAATATTTTCTCTCCCACAGAACCCGCAGACCCGAAGTGAACGGGTCAACACCCTCACCCAAGTGCTCAACACCGGTGTGGCCGACATCTCCCTCGACGATCTCCACCACTACCCTGGTCTGAGGACCGCCATCGTGCAAGGAGACGGAAAGCTCCTCGTCAACCACTCCGGTGAAGTGGTCTACCGCCCCGGACCTCCAAAACCAGCGCAGAAGGCGAGAACGGGAGTCCAAGTTGCCAAGAAGTAATCAACCATCTCCGAGAACTGTCTGCTGGGGGAGAACTTGAAGGTCGGGTTCTAAGGTCCCAAACAAGCTGAGGACCTTTGCGACGCGCGGAGTTTCGCACCAACAGCAGGGGCGACTGTGGCATCTTCAAGAGTACTTCGACTCCCCAGGGATTGTTAGGAAACTGCCATATCCCTCAATGACCTTTCTCCCGTTCCTCCCTTACTCTTTCCATATATCTTTATTGCTTGATCGAAGATGTTCTGAAGTGACATAATAAACAAACTTCTTTTTTAAACTTCTCATCTTGTTTATTTTTACCAAAACCCATAAATAAAATATGCACTTAATGAACACACACACACTGGGGCGCCTGTGGCTGTGTGGATAGCACGATGGACACATGATCCTGTGGCCAGGGTTCGATTTCCGGCGCTGGCGAGAAACGATGGGCAGATTTTCTTTCACCCTATGCCCCTGTTACCTAGCAGTAAATAGGTACCTGGGAGTTAGTCAGCTGTGACGGGCGTTTTCCTGGGGTGTGTGTGTTGTGATGTTGATTGACAGTTGCGAGGCGGGCCGAAAGAACAGAGCTCAACCCCGCAAGCAGAACCAGGTGAATGCACACACACACACACACACACACACACACACACACACGGTAAGGTAATTGGAACCCCTGTGGGTAAGGTTGGATTATAGCAATGACTACGTCAGGAAGGGCGTCTAGGTCCAGCAGTATTATTGTTGAAGAAGAGGATAGGTTTGTGGAGAAAATGATTGGGAAATTTGTAGAGAAGAGGGATGTTTGGATAGATAATCTAATCCAGGGGATTAAAAGTGAAATCTTTAATAGGATACAGGATGAGGTTCAGAGACAAAAATGAGAATTTATGGACTATATTCAAGAAGAAATCAAGAAGAGCAGAGTGGCATGGGAAAGTGAGATAACAAGGCTTACAACTGAATTTGGCAGGAATAAGGGTAGCATGACAAGGGAAGGGGGAGTGGTGGGGGAATGGAGTAGTGAGTGTGGGTGGGGTGAGAGTCAGCTAGGGGAGGAGGCGACCAGCATGACCCTTCACTGAGGAGGTCAGTCATAATCTATGGATTACTTGAAGCCAAGGCATCACATACTGCAACACAAGCACTTACTCAGAGGTAGCGAAAACTATTCCAACGTGTATATTGACAAAAATATGACCAAAGATGAGCAGATAGTTCACAAGGCGAGCCGTCCTCGACACACCTCATCAAAATTGAGCGTAGTTACCCACCCCAGTGCTAACCCACCCCGTGCTAACGAGCCCACACCTGCTTCCCAGGCCACACCCTCCCCAAATCAGCCCTCCCTGCCCCTATTTATCTCCCAAACACCTCCTCTGACCTCTCTGACCCCATTGCATTCGAATCCATCTGCTTCATCCCACATTCCAAGGATCCCCTCATCCCCTCAACCCCCAAAACCCGCTCAGCCCTCATCCCTTCAACCCCCAAAACCCGCCCAGCCCTCATCCACTCAACCCCCAAAACCCACCGAGCCCTCATCCCCACTCCTTCCATGTGACCCCCTACCCTTGCAGGGGGCACATGGACCCCCCGTGGGAGACGGGGGGACCCCCCACCTCTTCCTCCATTTCCCTTTTCCCCCTCCTTCCCCAATGCCCACACCTACGCCTGAGTTTCCCTTGACTAATACAACCTCCCTCCCACTATTACAATCCATGTTCCATCCGCCCCTCTTCCCCCCACCCCATCTATCCTTCTCCCCCCAATCTCTCAACCTCTATCTGACTCTCAACCTTACGCTACCTCTCAACCCCTCTATGCCTCTCAGACCCTCCCTAATCTTCAAACCCAGTATGCCCTTACTACTCCAGATTTACCTACCCAGGCCTTACCCAAGACCTTCCTACCTACCTTCCTAGATGCCCAGCCCCCATTCGCCTCCCAAGCACCCCTCCAGACCCCATTCAACCCCCCAGACACCCCCTGGATCCCCCCAGGCCCCATTCACCCCCCAGACCCAAGAGAAAGGGCGAACTCTGGTACCAGAGTTTCCATGAAGAATCTCAAGGTTTGGTACACCAATGCTGATGGGGTATCTAATAAAGCAGAAGAAATAAAAGAAAGAGTGAGTGAGACAGATCCTGACATAGTTGCAATTGTGGAAACTAAAATAAATGACATGATCTCGGATGCAATCTTTCCAGAGGGCTACCAAGTGATAAGAAAAGAGAGGACACAGAGACAGGGAGGGGGAGTAGCACTCCTAATAAGGCGGAAATGGAAGTTTGAAGACCTGGGAAATCGGGTTACTAATGAGAGCACAAACTTCATACATGGAACTCTGGCAGCAGATGGGAGGAAGATTGTGATCTTGGTAATCTAAAACCTCCACCAAACAGGAGAAGACCCAGGCAGGAGTATGATGACAACAACAAGGCATGCATAGATGAACTGCAGAAGGCAGCAACATTAGCTCACAGAATGAGAGAAAAGCTGCTGGTCATGGGGGACCTAAATCATAGAGAGATAAATTGGGAATCAAGGAATCCCAATGGAGGGGACGAAACGTGGGGAGCAAAGTTTGTAGATGTTATAGACAGGAATTTCCTAACACAACATGTGAAGGAAGACACAAGGGAAAGAGGAGGAGATGCACCGAGCCTATTAGACCTTATTTTCCCCCAAAACGTAGAAGACATCGAGAAATTGGAGCATGAAATACCTCTAGGGGCCAGCGACCATTGTGTCTCAGTCTTTGACTACATGATGGAATTCAAATTTGTGACCATGGGACAAGAGATCTGGGAAAGAAGAGTTGACTACAGGAAAGGGGATTACAGGAGGATAAGGGATTATCTGAGAGAAGTGCAGTGGGAGGAAGAAATTAGGGAAAAAACAGTCCAAGATATGATGGACCTGGTCATACAGAAATGCCAGGAGGCCGAAGAGAGATTTATACCAACAGTAAAGGGGAAAAATAAGAAGGAATATAATAACCCATGGTTTAATAGACAGTGCCAGGAAGCAAAAATGGCCAGCAGGCAGGAGTGGAGGAAGTACACACGACAAAGGACAGAGGACAACAGGATCAGATGCAACAGAGCTAGGAACGATTACATTAACATAAGACGAACATCGGAAAGGAACTATGAGAACGATATTTCGATCAAAGCGAAAAAGCAACCTAAATTACTACACAGCCATACAAGAAGAAAAATGTTAGTGAACGACCACGTGATAAGACTAAGGAAAACAGAGGGGGCATATACTGAAAGTGACAAGGAAATCTGCGAGTCACTGAGTGCCAGTTCAACACAAGCAGTCTCCGTGGTGTAGTGGTAAGACACTCGCCTGGCGTTCCGCGAGCGCTATGTCATGGGTTCGTATCCTGGCCGGGGAGGATTTACTGGGCGCAATTCCTTAACTGTAGCCTCTGTTTAACGCAACAGTAAAATGTGTACTTGGATGAAAAAACGATTCTTCGCGGCAGGGGATCGTATTCCAGGGACCATAGGATTAAGGACTTGCCCGAAACGCTACGCGTACTAGTGGCTGTACAAGAATGTAACAACTCTTGTATATATCAAAAAAAAAAAAAAAAAAAAAAAAAAAAGCAAATGTAAAGTTATGGAAATGGGACTAGGTGATAGGAGACCAAAGGGTCACTATACAATGAAGGGGAACTGCCTACCTGTAACGATGCATGAAAGAGACCTGGGTGTGGACGTAACATCTAATCTATCTCCTGAGGCACATATAAATAGGATAATGACAGCAACGTACTCTACACTGGCAAAAGTTAGAACGTCTTTCAGAAACCAAAGTAAGTTGACATTTAGGGCGCTTTACACTGTCTACATGAGGCCAGTCTTAGAGTATGCCGCCTTATCATGGAGTTCCCATCTGAAGAAGCATATAAGGAAACTGGAAAAGGTTCAGAGGTTTGCAACGAGACTCGTCCCAGAGTTATGAGGGATATACAGTACTTATGAGAAGCACCTGAAGGAACTGTGTCTTACGACACTAGAAAAAAGAAGGGAGAGGAGGGACATGATAGGAACATATAAAAACCTCAGAGGGATTGACAGAGTGGACAGAGACGAAATGTTCACATGGAATAGTAACAGAACGAGGGGACATGGGTGGAAACTGGAAACTCAGATGAGTCACAGAGATGTTGGGAAGTTTTCTTTTAGCGTGAGAGTAGTGGAAAAATGGAATGCACTTAAGGAACAGGTTGTGGAAGCAAATACTATTCATAATTTTAAAACTAGATATGATAGGGAAATGGGACAGGAGTCATTGCTGTAAACATCCGATGATCGAAAGGCGGGATCCTAGAGTCAATGCTCGATCCTGCAGACACAAATTGGTGAGTACACACACACTACGAGGAAGAGCTGCATGAATTGCACCTCATGACACTGGAAGACAGAAGAGTAAGGGGAGACATGATCACTACCTACAAAATTCTCGGAGGAATTGACGGGGTAGATGAAGATGAACTGGTTAACAGTTTGGGTGGTACGCGAACAAGGGGACACAGGCGAAAACTGAGTACCCAAATGAGCAACCGGGACATTGGAAAGAACGTTTTCAATGTCAGTGTAGTTAACAGATGGAATGCATTAGGCAGTGATGTGGTGGAGGCTGACTCCATACACAGTTTCAAGTGTAGATATGATAGAGCCCGATAGGCTCAGGAATCTGTACACCAGTTGATTGACAGTTGAGGCGGGACCAAAGAGCCAGAGCTCACCCCTCGCAAGCACAAATAGGTGAGTACAAGTATGAAAGGGAATGATAAACCAGACAGACTTGACCTGGTATTCACCCTGAACAAGTCAGACATTAGGGAAGTCAGATCAGAACCCACCATAGCCATGAGTGACAATGCACAATGTTATAACTTTTGAGTATCTGGTGGAAGTAGGATTAACACATCCAAGGAATGGACCAAAAAGTAAATATATTACATATATATATATATATATATATATATATATAGCCATACCATTTTTATTCAGTAAAGCTGCGATTCAACAACTCATCACATAAATTTGGGGGCCTGTCTGGGAGCTGTCACAGGGGCAGTTCTAGGAGCTGGTCTGAGGAGCTGTTCCTAGTACCCTTGCTTACAGTTGTGTTGTGTTTAGTTGTTATACGTGGCTTTTATACTTTGCATTTTTTCAGAATTCATTTTGAGATTTACATACTGGTAACTGAACACATCTATTTTACAGGTGTAGCAAAAGTGTGATATGATTATTACACTGATTTTGATTACGTGAAGTTTCATGCACAAATTCATGCTCGTAATGGTTAGTCTTCTAAGCTATTGCTATATCTTTTTATCCACATTAATTTTGTCCCAACAGAGAGGACTCACTCAGGCAGATCACACCCTCGGGTACTTATCTGGTACTTTGATTTGTCTTTGAACTATTATGTTCCACTCTGGCGATGGTTTGGTTGTGGTTGTGGGTTGTGGGTTGTCTCTTCCCACAACCAAACCATCGCCAGAGAAATCCTAGTAAACAACACAGAAATCATCGATAGATACAGCGATAGCAGGCGGCTTGACGTTTGCGAGGCACTACACATCAAGAAGTCAACACCAGCAATCAACAGCCAATTATTGCACAACTATATTCTACCCACCTCAAGACTCCGCTCCAATATAGAAGCATCAAGAAATATGGACCAATAGGCTTTCTACAAACACTTCTATTCAATACCCATTGTTTGTGTTCTGTCTTGTGTTGATACTTTTAATACCCTATTAATATCCCCTCTTGTTCTGTCTTGTGTTAATGCCACATCACCCCTCCCACCTCACTCAAATGTAGATATAAAATCGGAGATACGTAAGTTCTAATTAGTTGTGTATTTGTGAACTAAAGTCTTTGAAAATGTAATAAGTTTTACGAAACGCGCCCGTGTCGCGTCAGACTAGAAATAAAAATGAATTTTGGAGAATTGATTTTTGATTTACCTCCAACAGTGAAGCGTAATGTACGAAAGATTGAGAAAATTCGTGTTAGAATTATTAATCTTACTTTTTCGGTCATATTTAATAATATATGTCTACAGGAAAGACTGCTACCAAAATATACTAATATATATATATATATATATATATATATATATATATATATATATATATATATATATATATATATATTTGCATATGCAGAAAATCCACAAAGAAAGAAATAGAAAAGAAGATGAACATTTCGGCCGTTTAAAGCCGTTGTCAACACCAGACTGACTAGGAGAAACAAAGGGAGGGTACAGGTCAACAACTGAATCTGACCACATATCCCCAAGTAAAGAATTACCCAGAAGCAGGTATAGATTAGCTTAGAATAATAGGATTAAGCGGTCATAGAATAAGGATAAAAGATTAAAGAAAGCCTCACTGAAAACACAATATATGAATATAATATTGAAATGAGACAGACTTAGGAGGGTAGAAATAGCCTAAGCTACTCTATCCCTTTGAGATGTATTTCTTTCTTATCTCAATAAACATACTTGAACTTGAACTTGAGACAGTGTGATCACACAAACTCGTGTGCAGATACAATGCACGAGACGTTTGGGCAGTTCTAATACTATAAGCATGTTGGGACAACGACAATTGTAAGACTTTTCCTATTAGTCCAAGGTACACAGAATCACAATCATTGCAGGAAAATTCTGGAAATTCCTGGACAAACAGGAAAGTCATGAAAGAAATTGTTTTTCCTCATCTCCTTCGTTGGCTTGTCCACCCTCTGGCTTCCATGCTCCATGCACTCTTTCTCGTGAATTATTACACCGGACCCCAAGAGTGTTAATGAGGCCTTTGACAGTTGCTGAGGCTGCGAGAGAGAGAGAGAGAGAGAGAGAGAGAGAGAGAGAGAGAGAGAGAGAGAGAGAGAGAGAGAGAGAGAGAGAGAGAGAGAGAGAGAGAGAGAGAGAGAGAGAGAGAGAGAGAGAGAGAGAGAGAGAGAGAGAGAGAGAGAGAGAGAGAGAGAGAGAGAGAGACAGACAGACACAAGGGGCAACATACTCACCTGGCCGTGACCTTCCCAAACGTTTGCTTCACTAGGAAAATAAAAATCATATGAAGAAATTTCCTTATATCCTTATGATTTTTATAGTTTTTCATATATATATATATATTATATATATATATATATATATATATATATATATATATATATATATATATATATATATATATATATATATATCACGTCCTTGTTATTTCATTGTGTACTAACTACACCCAATATTACTCAACAGTCAATATTACTCAACAGTCAATATTACTCAACAGTCAATATTACTCAACAGTCAATATTACTCAACAGTCAATATTACTCAACAGTCAATATTACTCAACAGTCAATATTACTCAACAGTCAATATTACTCAACAGTCAATATTACTCAACAGTCAATATTATTCAACAGAACACCAGAAAGCAGAGAGAGATACCAGAGAACCAGGAATGAGTACGTCAGGGTGAGAAGCAGAGAAAAGTTATGAAAATGATATAGCAAACAAAGCCAAGACCGAACCAAAGCTACTCCACAGTCACATCAGAAGGAAAACAACAGTGAAAGAACAGGTATTGAAACTTCGAAAATCGAGGACAGGTATACAGAGAATGACAGAGAGGTGTGTGAAGAACTCAACAAGAGGTTCCAGGAGATCTTCACAATAGAACAAGGTGAGGTCACTGTGCTAGGAGAAAGGGAGGTAAACCAGGCGGCCTTGGAAAGGTTCGAAATTACGAGAGAGGAGGTCAAGAGACACCTGCTGGATCTGGATGTTAGAAAGGCTGTTGGTCCAGACGGGATCTCACCATGGGTACTGAAAGAGTGTGCAGAGGCACTTTGCTTGCCACTCTCCATAGTGTATAGTAGGTCACTGGAGACGGGAGACCTACCAGAAATATGGAAGACGGCGAATGTGGTCCCAATATACAAAAAGGGCGACAGGCAAGAGGCACTGAACTACAGGCCAGTGTCCTTGACTTGTATACCATGCAAGGTGATGGAGAAGATCGTGAGAAAAAACCTGGTAACACATCTGGAGAGAAGGGACTTCGTGACAAATCGCCAACATGGGTTCAGGGAGGGTAAATCTTGCCTGACTGGCTTAATAGAATTCTACGACCAGGTGACAAAGATTAAGCAAGAAAGAGAAGGCTGGGCGGACTGCATTTTCTTGGATTGTCGGAAAGCCTTTGACACAGTACCGCATAAGAGGCTGGTACATAAGCTGGAGAGACAGGCAGGTGTAGCTGGTAAGGTGCTCCAGTGGATAAGGGAGTACCTGAGCAATAGGAAGCAGAGAGTTACGGTGAGGGGTGAGACCTCAGATTGGCGTGAAGTCACCAGTGGAGTCCCACAGGGCTCTGTACTCGGTCCTATCTTGTTTCTGATATATGTAAATGATCTCCCGGAGGGTATAGATTCATTTCTCTCAATGTTTGCGGACGATGCCAAAATTATGAGAAGGATTAAGACAGAGGAGGACTGCTTGAGGCTTCAAGAAGACCTAGACAAGCTGAAGGAATGGTCAAACAAATGGTTGTTAGAGTTTAACCCAAGCAAATGTAATGTAATGAAGATAGGTGTAGGGAGCAGGAGGCCAGATACAAGGTACCATCTGGGAGATGAAATACTTCAAGAGTCAGAGAAAGAAAAAGACTTGGGGGTTGATATCACGCCAGACCTGTCTCCTGCAGCCCATATCAAGAGGATAACATCAGCGGCATATGCCAGGCTGGCCAACATAAGAACGGCATTCAGAAACTTGTGTAAGGAATCATTCAGAACTTTGTATACCACATATGTCAGGCCAATCCTGGAGTATGCAGCCCCAGCATGGAGTCCATATCTAGTCAAGGATAAGACCAAACTGGAAAAGGTTCAAAGGTTTGCCACCAGACTAGTACCCGAGCTGAGAGGTATGAGCTACGAGGAGAGACTACGGGAATTAAACCTCACTTCGCTGGAAGACAGAAGAGTTAGGGGGGACATGATCACCACATTCAAGATTCTCAAGGGAATTGATAGGGTAGATAAAGACAGTCTATTTAACACAAGGGGCACACGCACTAGGGGACACAGGTGGAAACTGAGTGCCCAAATGAGCCACAGAGATATTAGAAAGAACTTTTTTAGTGTCAGAGTGGTTGACAAATGGAATGCATTAGGAAGTAATGTGGTGGAGGCTGACTCCATACACAGTTTCAAGTGTAGATATGATAGAGCCCAATAGGCTCAGGAACCTGTACACCTGTTGATTGACAGTTGAGAGGCGGGACCAAAGAGCTTAACCCCTGCAAGCACAATTAGGTGAATACACACACACACAAAAAAACACACCCGCGTAATTAATATACCCAACTCATAAGGTACCCAATTACAGCCCCGCTCCTGTGCCAGGTAAGTCCCCTACGGGCTCACCATAGCCCGTGCTACTTGCAACTTTGTGTTCCCACTAGCTAAATCTAAAACAACAACAACATCTTAAGATGCAACACCGAAGAGGTAAGAAAAAAACTCATCCTCGGTAACATCTTCAGAGATGCGCACAGGACCGGCGCACACAAAAAACGGGAACAGGTTCCCAACACCGGGTATATAAGAGGGAGGACTTGCCTCTCCTGCCATAACCCGTCGCTCCACACCTCTAACTGCGTCGTTTGACAGCCTACCGTCGCTTCATCTACCATTACCCACCACCAGGATGATAGGCCTAGTGAGTACTCAATTGTCTCCCTTAATAGTCAGTTACAATAATGTCTTTGGGAATAGGCGTGTGAGATAGATATCTATTGAGATATGATATCTACTTTCTATTTTAAACGTTAAGGGACTATTTTAATGCGCATGAGAATCAGAGCCTATTTTCTTGAACGATACAATTTTCTTTACATATGCGAGTATTTGCATTATCAAGTTACTTGATAAGGGTCAAGAACGGATGGAACCGTTGTCAAATACGTCACATTAGGCTCCTTGGAGCCGGTCGGCCGAGCGGACAGCACACTGGGCTTGTGATCCTGTGGTCCCGGGTTCGATCCCGGGCACCGGCGAGAAACAATGGGCAGAGTTTCTTTCACCCTATGCCCCTGTTACCTAGCAGTAAAATAGGTACCTGGGATCGAACCGTTGTCAAATACGTCACATTAGGCTCCAGGACGGACCGAAATTTCGTCACTTTCATTTCGTATGTGAACTGGGTTATATATAATAATAATAATTAACTCTGTCGGGGACAGGAGGTCAGCATATGTTTATACACGTTAGGCTGTTATCTAGGTCCGCCCCCCCCCCCTCCCCAAGGTCGAATTACAGACCCTGCCCAGGACACCACCCCAACAGTGCTTTCCTTCGCGAACTTTAGAGTCCATCAAGAGTCAAAGGAAAAGGAATGAGTACAAAGAATTGGTGGTGGACTACAGAAATCGTGCAGAGGGCGAGGGCTCGGAGTCTTCACTGTCTAACTCAGACAGGGAGGACGAGCAGCCTAGCCCATTAAGGAATCATGGACGGAGAGGCAATATCAGGGCGGCGGTGGGCGCCCCCGATGGCGCCGAACCAGACATGCCTCCCCTGATGGGACCCCCCAGGAAGCTTCTTGGAAGGAAACCATGGTAGAATTCCTTGCAGCTATTGCACCCAGGGGCCAGGAAACTGGATGGGGGGAAAGAACTCCTTGATGAGGCAATCACTGACCTGGTCAGTGGTAACGGCCATAACGTGGATAGGATCCTTGAGCGCCATGCTCGAGTGGTTACTTCTGCCAAAAGATCTGGTGACCACGCACTGCGCCCTCGCCCTGCGCGTCGACAGAGACCTCCACCGATTAATCGTGCCGATCCAACCCAACCTCCGACCGGACGAAAGAGGGAGCGAAGAGCACAGTACATTCTGTGTCAGAGCCTGTACGAGAAGGATCGTTCAAAAGCCGCTGCGCGCGTCCTTTCCGGAGACTGGAAAGTAACCCCCACTGAGGTGGAGCCAGCTCGTCTCTTTCCATTCTGGGAGGCACTATTCTCTAGACCCACATCACCGGACCGCCGCCCAATTCGTGCCCGTGATCCAGTTAATCAGCAACTAGGGGACCCTATAACACCAGAGGAAATCCTTGTTGCTCTCAAGGCAAGTAGCAATGCTGCTCCCGGCCCAGACGGTATCACTATACGTCTACTTAAAGCTATACCAATCAGGGTGTTTGCAAAATTGTTTAATCTGTGGTTGGTAAACGAATCCCTGCCACAACCTTTTCGCAAGAATAAGACAGTGCTGTTAGCTAAGAAACCTAACCCAGACTCTCCTTCCCATTATCGCCCCATAACCATGTCATCTACGATAGTGAGGCTGTTCCATAAGATTCTGAGCAGCAGACTCTCCGAGGCAGTCAGGATCGACAGGCGGCAGAAGGCCTTCGTCCCTGTGGACGGATGCCCTGAAAACCTGGTGATCCTGGATGCCCTCCTAGCTGAGGCTCGTGCGCTCAAGCACAACACGCACCTAGCGTTTCTGGATATGGAGAAGGCTTTCGATAGCGTCTCCCATCCGGCCATCCATCGGGCCATGAAACGTAAAGGCATTCCGAAGCCTTTAAGGACATACATAATGTCGGGCTATGATCGGTCCTCAACCGTAATAACCAGCCAAGGGGAGAAGTCGAAGGACATCCTGATCACTAGGGGGGTGAAACAGGGTGACCCCCTGTCTCCATTTCTCTTTAACCTAATAATTGATGAGGCAATTACTAGGGCTAAGGACTTGGGGCTAGGGGTTGGACTGGGGGGCGAAAAGATATCAGCACTGGCATTCGCTGACGATCTGGTTGTGGCAGCAGAAACGGCTGCCGGACTACAGACACTTATAACAAGTATTTGCCACACACTGCGTGGCTCTGGTCTTAAAGTAAATGCTGCGAAATGCCGTACGCTAAGCATAGCGATCGATGCACATCGTAAGACGTGGCATGTCCCCACCAGGAAGGCATACTACGTCGGGGACGATGAAATCGGTACTATGAGTGTGGCGGACGAGTATAAGTACTTAGGAATACTTATCGGGGCCGGGGGCAGACGCTTATCCTATGGTTCCCTGTTTGAGGACGGCCTGACAAACATCACTAAGGCGCCACTCAAACCCCAACAGAGGCTATACCTACTAAAACACCACCTAATCCCCAAGATGAACCACCGGCTTGTTCTCGGACGCGTGTTTAAGACGGAATTAGCGAGGCTTGACCGGCGGCTGCGGCATGCCATTCGTGGCTGGCTGCGGCTGCCTCATGATACTCCTAATGCCTATTTTCATGCCGACGTGAAGGACGGTGGACTAGGAATACCCGACTTTGCCACATCAATCCGCCTACAGAAGAACAAGCGGCTCGGGGCGTTAGTAGAGTCGGAGGATCCAGTGGTAGTGGCAGCGGCTCTCCTACCCGCGTTCCAAGCGCGAATGCGTCGATGGGTAGACCCGACCACGGCAGCCGGAACCCCTTCTAACAGAACGACTGAGCGCTCTAGAAAGTGGAAAGCAAAACTGTATAGCATGGTCGACGGTGCCGGCCTTGCGTCCTCTTGTGAGGTTCCATCTTGCCACAAGTGGGTCGCATCCGGTACCCGTCTGCTAAGCGGAGGAGATTTTGCTCATGCCATCCAGATTAGGGCAAACGCTGTAGCCACGCCGTCTAGAGCAGCTAGGGGTAGACCCGAGGCTTCTGGTCTCTGCGATGCTTGCCAGAAACCAGGGACCCTGGGCCACATATCCCAGGCATGCCACAAGACACATGGGGCTCGGGTGAAACGTCATGACGATATCACCCGGTTCGTAGCCGGCCGCCTGCGGCAAAGAGGTTTTGAGGTGGAACGTGAAGTCCGTATACCGGATGGAGGGACCTTCTGTAAGCCTGACATCATAGCTTGCAAAGGTGATGAGGCCTTTATATTAGACACCCAGGTCTCTGCTGATAACTTCCCACTCTCCCGTCCACATCAGAGCAAGTGCGACAAGTACGGCACCCCAGAGATCCTTCAAAAGGTCAGGGAATATACCGGGAAGCACACAGCATCCGCCTCTTCAATAACCCTTAATTGGAGAGGAGGATGGTGCAAGGAGAGTGCGCGTGGTCTACAGGATATGGGACTCACCAAGAGCGACCTTGAGATTTGCTCTGTGAAAGCCCTGACCTGGACATATTCCATCTACAGAATATGGTCCAAGACCACATCTAGGGGCAGACCACCTTAGTCCCAGGATCACCGTGCACAGGGTGCATAAGGGTTAATATAGTCTTGCTTAGGTGAACTGCAGCCAGGATAGCTGGTAGCCAACTATCTAAGCAGAGTCGTCATCTGGAGTACCACTTCTCCAAATGGTGTCTCACAAGAGGGTGGATGACCTGGCCAGAGCCCACGAGTGGGTAAGGCGGCGGCCGGAGGGACCCCCATGCGCATACATGATATCCCTCCCGCTCCGGGGCCTTGTTAGGAGCTTCCACTATGAATAGTTTTTTCCATGTATGCCGATGTCAAGTCACCAATCCTGCCGCTTAGGCAGCTTGTTGTTTTGCCTTCAGCTTTAGTTCTTTTTTAATGATATACTGTGCACCTCTCCCTTTGTGTGCTGTGTCCCATATAAGAAAAACCAAATACAAAAGAATTTTCCATTTTATGTATATTATTATCATGTTATTATTGTGTGTTATTATTATCATCTTAACTCTTGTGGGTTGTGATGAGATCTGCCATTTATGTGTATTTTAGTTTGTGTTTGATAGGGAATTAGGTATGCTTAGGGGTGGCTTCTCGCCATGCCCTGTGGCTGGGGGGATTGGTGCCCTGAAGCTACATAAATACCCTATCCCCCCCCCCCGAAGTAGCAAGGGTAGTTAGGGGACAATTCATTGTTAGAACTGACTCATTCGTTACCTATCGTTAGCTTCATTGGTTTTTATATATTTGTTAGCTTATTATTGCGCTATTGTTTGTTTTGATAATTGGCCTCAATTTGCATATAATACTTTAATAATTTGATTAGGCTTTGCATTTTCGGGCACATGAAACTCCTATTGAAGTGTCCCATAGCTAACAACCGCCTACGGGCTCACCATAGCCCGTGCTACTTGGAGCTTTTTGTTCCAGGTAGCGAATCTTTAACAACATAACAACCGCCTAACTACCACACACCTAGTTACTCCCATGTGAACAGCTGCATTAGATGAAAGGAACCGTTGCCCAAATGTGTCGGTACTGCCGTAGAAATTAAACCATAAACCCATTGGTTGTAAACTAGTATTATCACAACACTAAACGTTTTAGTTGAATAATTGTAATGCTTTCTATAATGTTAACTTATTTATTTATTCTGAAATACTATGAACAGTGTGACAACAGACTATGACAGAGTCTGTGGTCAAAATATAGTGTCATTTCAGAGGTAAATACGATATGATGGCGAGACTGTATCATTGTATTAGTGAATCAGTACACGGAAAGTCGTGTCTTAGGAACTGAAACTCAACCTTGTATATATTATACAGGAGGCAGTCAGACTACAGGAAATTGTCAGACAACAAAAAAAGGGGCAAATGACCTTTACTCAAACTATCGAAAAGATGCAGGCAATGGTATTCACGTCTTTTTTCTTTTGTATACTTTTTACTGTCGATCGAAGCAACCAAAAATGTATATTTGTTCTACTTTTCCAGGTTGTGCTTGCTGTTGTGGCGGCAGCGGCGTCTGCCTCTCCCCTGGCCCAAGGCGGCCGCTTCGTCTACTCCACGGATTCTTCACAGGAGAACAGTTGGTGGGTGATGGTATGGGGGGTGAGGGAGGAATAAGGGCAGGATAAGGGGTGGGGGGGGGGGAAAGAGGAAGACGAGAGAAGTCGGTGGGGAGGATGAGTATATGAGTAACATTAGGAAAGTTAAAACAACCGTGAGGAAGTGGATAGTATAGAGGTCTAGAAGAGGACCTACATGAGGGAGTGGGCAGTGGTAGAGCCCTCGAGGAAGACCTACACGAGGGAATGGCTAGTGGCAGAAGACTCGAGGAACACCCGCTTGAGATAGTGGGAAGCAGAGACCTCGAGGAAGACCTGTACGAGGTAGTGGGGAATAGAGGCCCTGCAATAGGCTCTGCAAGTGAAAATTTGAACGGTGGGAGGTAGTGTTTATATTTCGTGAGGCTATCATAAAGTCATGACTTACTTGTTTAATGAACCTTAAACCTTTAAATAAACCTTTGAACCTTAAACTGTTACATGACTAGCGAGTCAAGCCCAACCTGACCTTTTTACACCAAGCATGAATCGCAGAAACACGCAAGTGGGCAGCAGCGTCTGCTCTGACCATGACATTTCTTTCCTATTTTTTTATAAAGGATGAATTTAGGTCATTCATACTTGTAGCACAAAGCATGGCAAGGTATTGTACACTTAGTAAGCCACTTGAGAGACGGTGGCCCCTCAGGTAAATACTGACAAATCAACGGAGAATGCAGTCTTACCTTGAGCCGAAGAAGCCTAGTCACTCCACACTTATGACATTTCTTGCTGACATTCTCTGACGAGGATCGTCGTGGTTCCTTGGAGCAGCGTGCTGGTAAGACATCTTTTAACATTACCGAGATCTCAGAGCTCTTCCACGGAGACGCGTATATGTGCAAATGTTAATTATATATGGTTAAATATCCTCGTCCGTAGCCTCACCATGTGCAGCTAGTGGAATATGTAAGAGTTTTTTCGTAAAAGAATCTTTTCCAGCATTAAAATGTTCGGTTAATTTGACTTTGTCAGTTTTATAATATGTCTCCACCAGTGCTTTTCACTGACAAAGATGCCACAAAATCGGTCCCAAGAAAATTCAGTAGAAAAGGCACGTTCTCCATTAACACTTTTAAGACTATTTGAGCGGGAATGATCACTTTAACGTTCCTAAAATTATAAATACTCATTGCACTATTTTACTTGAAAATTCACTGTTAAATATCTTGCCAATCGCACAAGCATTTCACCGCAAAACAACACTTGAATTGTGTTAGAATTCACAGCAACTTAACATCTAGCCTAGCCTTAGGCACGAGTAATATTGTTCCAACTAACAGCATTCGGCACAGCAGCTGTCAGTGCTGTCAACACAGCATACTAAAGAAAAAACAAATAATAGCCCCGATTTCTCAACAATTGTGCAGCTCAGAGCACTGTTTTGCGCACAGAACGCGTCAGCACACAGCATCGTCAGTCCAGAGTTTCAGCACAAAGCCTAGCTCAACACACAGCTTCGGTCAGCAAAACTGCCTAGTTCAACACACAGCTTCGTTAGCACACAGCTTCGCTCAGCACACATCCTCGGTCGTCACAACAGCCTAGCTCAGCACACAGCAACAATGTGTTAAGGTGTTGTGGTGAGCGCTGAGGTGTCCGCGCGGGGTATGGCGGGGCCGCCCCGTCTCAACTGGGTATGAAACGCGTCAACAAACGGCTGTGCTAATTAACGTGTAAATATTTTTGTATAATTGTTATTTTGACGTGTATCCTACATGCTTATGCCGCGGCCGAATAATATTTTCTATAAATCAATTATTAAGTATGTAAATTATTGACTAAAGCATTTATTAAGGTACTGATAATTAGGTGGGTTGCCGCTTTGCAAACTCAACATGTACGCTTGTGAAATGCTGGTTAGCATTGAAAAGGTGATTAGGGCATCTATCTATGATTTGTTCTCGATTTGCAATCAGGGAAATCTTGGGTTCGCATCCCAGGCAGGACCTAAGTGGTTGGGCATGTTTCCTGTGACTTAATGACTCTATTTACTTACCAGTAAATAGGAGTTAGTCAGCTTGTTGTGGGGCTGCATACTAGGGAAGGTCAGTAGTTTGACCCTGGGGGGAACCTTCGATATAAGTCTAACGTAACGAATAAAAGCTGCCTGTCCCCGATAAAATGAATTATTAATTATTCATATAGTCCTATGCAATTCATGTCTATTTTATCTGGTAGACCATTTTTGACGTTGTTGGGGGGCGGAAAGTTGACAAGCCTGAATGGCTACCCTATTTCCATACAATAATTGTGTAACTATATTATTACACTGCTTTATTTATTATTAATGCTATGTTATTTTGACTGCGATTTAATCAAACAGATTGTGTTTGTAAAATTTTCATATCTAGCATTGTTACCCATTCCTAACTTTCATTTTTTATAACTACCTTTCTATAGAAAACTAATTTTACCTGTGACTAGGTAACATTTTATTAGTATTATCATGTCAACAGAACTACTTCTACTGACATAATAATACTTAAAATAATTCATTGTTTCGGGGGACAGACAGCCAGTGTAAATATACATGTTAGGCTTATATCAAGATAACCCCCCCTCCAAGGATGCAACTCCACAACCAGCTGACTGACTGCTGGGTACCTATTTACTGCTGGGTGAACAGGGACATTAGGGTAATGGGAAACACGTAAACCCATTTCTGCCCCGCCCGGGATCCTGTATAGACCTGTATTATGTCATTAATAAGGGCCATGTTGTCATCTTAGCTCTTTATCTTATAAGATACTGATTTATTGAGCTGATGGTCGCTGATAGCGATGGCCTATGTCTTGTCAGGTCAAAACCTCTGCCTCCTGATAGTAAACTTGACCTGCTTGACCTCTCTTATCTCTCCCTCAGGGAGTCCTTTGAGCGAGGCGTCGCCGGCTTCTCCCTGGAGTACCCCCGCCCTGGTAAGTCTCCGGACAAAGTGGCAAGTTATAGTGATGCTGTTTGGGAGAGATTATACAAGTGATGTGATGCCGGGGGCTGCTAATAGGACATGTTCAGTTCTTGACGAAGAATGCTTGAAGGTGGATGTTCATTGAGGTGATGAATGAGGAGGATGGAGATGGATGAAGGTGGTGAGGATGGTGATCAAGGCGGGTGCATGGTGAGGTGTTGATTACTTCAAGTGGTGCTGGAGCACTTTGTTGATTGTTAATGTTATTGTGTTGGTGGAGAATATTGAGGGAGTTTGCATTCAACTAGTTGTGCTTGCGGGGTTGAGCTGCGGCACTTTGGTCCCGTCTCTCAACTGTGTGTGGTGAGAGAGAAAATGATGGACAGAGCCATCACTCTGTCCAACTCAACTGGATAACACACTGTTATCCGGTTGAGAGACAACGTAACCAGTAAAGATTATAACTCCGTTCTGATCTCCTCCTTCTTCAGTCTCTCCAGGAGTTGCAACAGCCATCAGGTCTGGCGCGGCGGCCCCAACAACTTTCTGGTCCGGACTCTTCAATAGCGCCTTCAAGCCTGGCACCTTCCCATACAACATTGGTCTGGACAGCCCTGAGGACCTGCTCCCCATCCTGAATCTAAACAACGTGAGTTTAGCGCCTTGCTGCTCCAGATTCTTATGTTCAGTTTATCCTTTAATGTGTAATTTATGCACTCAGACATGCGCACTCATAAGCACGCACTAACATGCACACGCGCATTACTTGGGATGTACTAACACTTAAGACGAAGACGAATGTACTTACACATTTAAAAAAGGTATGTGTGAATTAATACACACACACACACACACACGCACACACGCACACACACACACACAAGTATGAGAGGGAATAATGAACCAGACAGACTTGTTCTGTTAATTACCCTGAACGAGTCAGACATAAGGGAAGTCAAATCAGAACCCACCATAGCCATGAGTGACCAGGCACTGTGTCCTAACATTTGAGTATCTGGTGGAAGTAGGATTAACCCATCCAAGGAATGGACCGAAAAGTAAAAGGCTGGAATACCGAAGGGGAAACTATGATGAGATTAGAAACTTCCTAACAGCGGAAGACTGTCTCTCATACCATTGGAGACAGTCTTGGTAGCATCGGGGTACAGGAGCTAACAGTTCGATCCTTGTGACACAAATATTAAATACAAATATTAAATCCATACACACGCACACCCTCAGGCACACAAACACTCCCTCAGAAGTGTGAGAACATTGTATTAATCTAAGAAGATTCGGAAGCCGGGGGCTACGAGCCTAGCTCGACCCTGGTTGTACATATAGACTTAGGGCAATGAAGAACATTCAGGTACATTAAATCAAGGACCTAGTTGGTACACTGCTCTTCCCATCACAGCAGCTGCTGTACAAGGTGTTGCTGTGGTCTTGATACACTCTGCTCTACCCACCACAGCAGCTGCTGTACCAGGTGTTGCTGTGGTCTTAATACACTCTGCTCTACCCACCACAGCACCTGCTGTAAATACTTTCTCTCCCACAGAACCCGCAGACCCGAAGTGAACGTATCACCATCCTCAACCAAGTGCTCAACACCGCCGGGTACGACATCTCCCTCGACGACATCCACCACTACCCTGGTCTGAGGACCGCCATCGCGCAAGGAGACGGAAAGCTCCTCGTCAACCACTCCGGTGAGGTGTTCTACCGCCCCGGACCTCCAAAACCCCAGCCGGCGCAGGAGGCGGGAACGGGAGTCGAAGTCGAAGCTGGGGGAGAAGAAGAAGGTCGGGTTCTTAAGTCCCAAACAAGTTGAGGACCTCTGCGACGCGCGGAGTTTCGCGCCAACAGCAGGGGCGACTGTGGCATCTTCAGGTGTACTTCGACACCCCCAGCGATTGTCAGGAAACTGCCATATCCATTAGCGATAAGACCTACCATTAATGTATAATGACTTACTGTAAATATATAGCTCTTGAAATAGCACTTTCTCTGTAACTAGCTGACATTGTAACTATAAGGTGTGAAGGATAGATGAAATTGTTTATGTAATAATCTATGATAAGGTCTGATAAAGACCTTTTGTGCCCTTTGTAATGCTTTTTGCGCTACCGCTCACAGGATGGGTATGGGGTGCACAATAAACTAGCCGCCTCCGGGGGCAACAATCAAATCAAACCCTCAATGACCTTTCTCCCCTTCCTCCCTTACTCTTTCCATATAACTTTATCGCATGTCTTTGCTTTATATATATATATATATATATATATATATATATATATATATATATATATATATATATATATATATATATATATATATATATATATATATATGGACCGAGGATGTACTTTAGTGATATAATAAGCAAACTTCTTTTCTAAATTATCGGGTTTATTTGTACCACATATATGTATATAGATATATATATCAGACTGGTCGTAATGAAGGACTTATATGTTGCTAAATGAATCTTGACCCGAGTTTTACTCCTTCCCTGGAGAACCAGAACGATATTTGGCAGTAATCAAGCCTTCCTCATTACCGTGGGAGGATACCAGTCAATCTGACCATCGGGGATTGATCTCGGACTTGTAAAATACACGGCGGAAGACTGTGGCTACCTTAATGAACTCTTACCGGCCAAATAGCTTCTGACATTGACTCTTGAACCACTGGAGTGTAAACGTGTAGATCTAAGTTCATACTTTTGAGAGCACTTAGGCTGCCTGAGGCACTCAAGACATGCTGCCTGAGGCACTCAAGACATGCTGCCTGAGGCACTTATGAGACATGCTGCCTGAGGCACTCAAGACATGCTGCCTGAGGCACTCAAGACATGCTGCCTGAGGCACTTATGAGACAAGCTGCCTGAGGCACTCATGAGACAAGCTGCCTGAGGCACTCAAGACATGCTGCCTGAGGCACTTATGAGAAGCTGCCTGAGGCACTCATAAGACAAGCTGCCTGAGGTACTCATAAGACAAGCTGCCTGAGGCACTCATAAGACAAGCTGCCTGAGGCACTCATAAGACAAGCTGCCTGAGGCACTCATAAGACAAGCTGCCTGAGGCACTCATAAGACAAGCTGCCTGAGGCACTCATAAGACAAGCTGCCTGAGGCACTCATAAGACAAGCTGCCTGAGGCACTCATAAGACAAGCTGCCTGAGGCACTCATAAGACAAGCTGCCTGAGGCACTCATAAGACAAGCTGCCTGAGGCACTCATAAGACAAGCTGCCTGAGGCACTCATAAGACAAGCTGCCTGAGGCACTCATAAGACAAGCTGCCTGAGGCACTCATAAGACAAGCTGCCTGAGGCACTCATAAGACAAGCTGCCTGAGGCACTCATAAGACAAGCTGCCTGAGGCACTCATAAGACAAGCTGCCTGAGGCACTCATAAGACAAGCTGCCTGAGGCACTCATAAGACAAGCTGCCTGAGGCACTCAGGCAGTATTCTGAGTTCGTATTTAGGCAGAATAGTACTAACAAGAACAGATTAGTAGCACCAAGAGTACGAAATAAAATTACTGACCAATTTTTAATGTTTACGGAGCAGTTGCTTCCAGTAACAGTTTGTTGGAACGTGTAATCACAAGCCTGATCCCGGGACGGCCTTGTGCTTGTAGAAGAACTCTTAAAACCCTCTCCAGGTAAACTCCAGGTATGGTCTCCCTCTTTACTAGATGCATCATTAATTCAAAGATCTCATTTTTTTTTTTACATAAAAGTGGTTGAGTTTAGGTGAAAAAAATGCGTTCTGAGGATTCGCTATAGAAATCTTGAGACTGGTTTAGTTATCGTGATATCTTTATTTGTCTGTGCAAAAGGATCGAACCCTCGTCTCCTAGACTCCCTAAGGACATATACACATCCTTAGGGGGCCAGGATCGAGGGTTCGAGCCTATTATACAGCCTCGATATTTCCTCACACATATATATCACGTTATCGTGTTTTTCATTATGGATTAGTTTTCCTCCTTGTGTGTTTCTCCTTGGAGCTCACGGAACTTCTTCCAGAACTTGGCGGGTTCGACACCCTCCCAGTGCTTCTTAGGCAGCGGCTGGAAGAACCTGGGAAGCAAGAGACAATCTTAACCGTGATCTAAGATGTTCAACTTCAAGCAACATTGCAGCAACAAGTCACAGGTGACACTTCAGAGCGCTGAGTCCAATAAGGACGGACACCAAGAGGTGAGAGGCGGGACCAAAGAGCCAAAGCTCCACCCCCGCAAGCACAACTAGGTGAGTACATGTAGCTTGCTTAGACAGACACAGACAGAAACTGACAGAAATTGACAGAAACAGCAGTTGGATCAAACAAAACACCCTAACCTAACCTGGAATTTGCATTGTAAAGTCATACCAACGTCTTATATCAATATATATTCAAGATTTCTGAAGATTTACGCAAGGTGAGGTCTCTGACTCACCTGTCCACCACGTCCCTAGCCACCTGCTCCTCTAGAGGCGTGAGGGGCACCAGCACACTCTGCAGGTTCCTCTTGAGGATGTCCAAGTTGATACATCCTAACAGGTGGGTGGCGAGGCCCTCTAGTGCTAAGGAATGTTGAACGGCTAAGCGCCCCAGGTCCACCCCAGCTGCCTGGGGAGATGGGAGATGGGGTGAGTCTGGGGGTGAGGAATATGGGGAGAAAATGATAGAAATTGATTAAATGGGTGAGATTGATGAATTTGTGAAATAGGGAGAGTGTACTGCACTAATTCTGGAACTGACTTCGTCAATTCTGGAACTGAATTCACCAGTATTGGAACCGAATTCACCAATTCTGGACCCGAATTCACCAATTCTGGAACTGAATTCATCAATTCTGGACCTGACTTCACCAATTCTGGAACTGAATTCATCAATTCTAGAACCGAATTCGCGAATTCTGGAACTGAATTCACCAATTCTGGAAATGAATTCACCAATTCTGGAACCGAATGCACCAATTCTGGAACCGAATTCACCAATTCTGGACCTGACTTCACCGATTCTGGAACCAAATTCACTAATTCTGGAACCGAATTCACCAATTCTGGACCTGATTTCACCGATTCTGGAACCGAATTCACCAATTCTGGACCTGAATTCCCCAATTCTGGACCCGACTTCACCGATTCTGGAACCGAATTCACCAATTTTAAGAATTGAATTCATTCCACCTATCCATCCTCACCTCCTGTCCTTGACCTCATACTGCTACTCACCTCACAGTAGTCGCGGGCTGCCTCACAAGCCGTCTTCATCTCTTGTGGCGCCGGGTGCCAAGCGACCAGGTCCCGCTCCTGGCACAGCATGCCCATGCCCACAGCGGCAGCATTGATCACGCCGATGCCTCGAGACTATGCACCACCATCACGAGAGATTAATATTAATCACGCGTTGCTCCGTACAAATGTAAATTGATGTAATAATCCCAATGGGGCGGAAAATCTTCGGTTAACGTTAAGTAAATGAAGAATCAACGTGACTAACGAAGAATCTGCGTTAACCACATTGATTCAATGTTGCTTCAACGCAGTTTGACTAGATTTTCCCTAGGGTGGGATGAGTTAATGCACTGAAAAGCGGTGTTTTCAACGTTAAACCTCGTTTAAATAAATCATAGCACCTGTTTAAAAGCCGATTCGACGTTGAAACAAGGCGTTTCCCCCTCTGGAAAGGCATGAGGTGCCATGATCGCGACATATAACATTCTTAAATGAATAATCAAAATGAAACTAAAGTAAAATAACACACCCACACACACGCATATACAGGTACCTGGAAGAATGGCAGGTACTCCTTGAGAGTGTCGTCAATCATAGTGTTCCGAGCGTAACTCAACACCAAATCGATCTTGACGGAGGACCTCTCCACCACCTCCTTCAAGACGCTGACATTATACCCGGTGATCCCTATGAACCTGCGTAGGGGAGAAGGAAGAGGAGGTGAGGAGAAGAGGGGTAAGGTGGGAGGGAACACGTAAGAGACTAAAAGGAGAAGGAGATGTAAGCAGAAGGTGGAAGAAATAGACAGAAGAAATTGAAGTTAGAGTAGGAGACGTGTGAAGACAATTCTGAGATGGAAAGAGACGGAGAACAGGAGAAAGAAGAGATGGGACGGTTAAGGAGCATATCAAAGATCTGACAAAAACAGTAACACAGAAACATAGGAGAGAGTGACGAGGATTCACAATAACGTGGCTGAAACATGTTGACCAAAATCACACACTAGAAAGTGAAGAGACGGACCGAAACGTCGTCGTCCCTTCACTTTCCAGTGTGTGGAGAGAGAGGGAGAAGGTATGAGGTGGAAGAGAACACGTAGGGCGTGTTCGAGTTAACACTACGAGGCGAAGGCGTACTGAGACAGTAAAACGTACTGTCTATCCTCCGAATAGACAGTACGTTTTAACACTGTAATAAGTACATAATTGTATTAATGGGGCTGTTGTATTTACCTCCCCACTTATTCTCCTCGTTTTCTGTTAAGACACTCAGTATTTTACGATGAAATTTTCAAGTTCTATAAGCAATACAAAAGTTTTAAATATAAGAAATTTCTGTTTTAGTTTTATTAAAAAATAGAGATTTTATACAAAATTTGAAAATATCCTGAGTTACTTTACAATTTATTGAAATATTTTAGTTTTGTTTTATTAGTTTTATAAAACTGTAATATCAGTATAGCTATAGGTTAAGTACTAATTGTAATTAAGAAGCAATAAAATGCTTATCTTCATACACTAAGGTTAGGTGAGGTCGTGCTTTTCTATTCAGCTTTTCAGGTAAACTCAAATATTCACAATATATTTGACAGTACGGTTTAATACCAAGTGAAAATAAGTACAATTCCTAACTGCCAGGAATAGTACATAATTATACTTACTTGTGCTGTTACATACAGGTGAGTACATACACACACACTCTCTCTCTCTCTCTCTCTCTCTCTCTCTCTCTCTGTCTCTCTGTCTCTCTCTCACTCTCTCTCTGTCTCTCTCTCTCTGTCTCTCTTTCTCTGTCTCTCTCTGTCTCTCTCTGTCTCTCTCTCACACCCCTGCCACAGGTCACCTACCTGGCCTTGCCCTGCTCCACCACCTTCTTCAGGGCCGGCAGCGTCTCCTTCAGGACAATGTCGAGGCTCTCAGCGAACTCGAGGTCATGGACCTGGAGGGGTGGTTCAGGGTAATTAACAAGGCAATTGGAAGGACTAACGAGGCTGTTTAGGTGATGATGAAGGAGGAAATGTTTCCCTTAAGACTAATAATGAGCTGAATTTACCCGAATGCCACCATCTCTAATAGCCTCGATGGGGACAGGAAGCCTGTGGATTGTCAAGAGGCGATGGATCAGAAGCTCATTCATTCCTCTGAGACATACATAGACAAGTACCTGGATAACATCGACGTAGTCGAGGCCCAGGAGCTTGAGACTCCTCTCGACGCTGCGTTCGACCCGTTCGGCTGAGAAGTCGAACATCCGTTCGATCGCGAACTCGTAGCGGCCGACTTTAGTGGCGATGTAGTAGGCCCTACGTGGGACGTCCTTCAGCGCCTGTGTGGGAGGGAGGGAGGGAGCGTGAGTTAGGGGGAGAGAGACACACACATATAGACAGACAGATAGACACCCAGAAATAGACAGGCAGGCAGAGAATTGCAGAAAAGGTAGCCTTATTTTAGAGGGGCAAGATTCTATCTTTTAAAATCAACAGTATTCAACACCCACAGCTCCTCCCACCTCCCACAGCCTCCCTCAACTCACCTTACCAATCACCTCCTCACTACGACCGTTGCCGTAGTAAGGGGCTGTGTCGATGTAGTTGATGCCAGACTTAACAGCCAGATGGACCGTCTGGATGCTCTCTGTCTCAATGGTGTCTCCGTAGATGCCTCCAAGAGGTCCTCCGCCCAGACTCATCTTAGACACCTTCAGACCTGTCGACACACACACACACACACACACACACACACACACACACACACACACACACACACACATTAATCACATGAATACATATATCAACGATGACTATACGAATATAAACACAAACAAAACTATTCTATATCAAAAATATATAATTCTGACAATATTCTACAATGTTCTGATTCAATTAATTTTTTTTATTTTCATTTCATGCAAAAACTTTAGATTTTTTTATTAATTTAAACAATCAGGCTAATAATTAACTTAATTGAAGTTCAAAATGTGATAAAAAATATAATTCAGACAAAGAATTACTCACATCATGGCTCAGTGGGTAGCACATCTGCCTGGCAAGTCCAGGAGCGAGAGTTCGAGCCCACCGTACTGACTCATGTCCTTGTAATTTCATTGTTCAAAAAGTATCATTGTTTCCTCAACGTCACATATGTTCTACACTGACCTAGTTGTGTAGTTAGTGGCTAATCACCAGAACTTACCGGTGTTTCCAAATGGGTGATAGGTCATCTTCTTGACAGCTTCCGGGTCGTGGAAACCCTCCACATAGGTCGGCTGATCCATCTGTGGGGTGGATAGATGTATAAGGATGACAAGGATAGGGATGGATAAACAATGCAAGTAAAAAAAGGCAGAGATATAATTAAGTGATATTGTACGGTTAGACGAATGGATAGGGGGGGGGAGAGGGATAGATAAGAAGAGAGGTGGATAGACCAGATAGACAGAATGAAAGGGAAAGAAAAGCAGATAGACAGAGGGGGGGACAGACAAGCAGACAGAGAGGCATAGGGTAATATAAATTCCATTAGACAGATGTGGATAGAGCCAGACAGACAGACATAAGGGGAACAGACATGTAAATAGACAGAGATGTCTAAGCCAGACAGACAGAGAGGAACAGATATATGAACAGATAGTGAAAATGACAAACATGAACGTATGAACGTCAAGTCATGTTCATTGTGACGATGAACACATCGAAAGTTCACTTTTGTTTAGTATTAGAAATTATCAAAATTTACCTTGAAGTTCAGCTTGGGTTAGTTTAGGTCAGATTAGGTTAGGATAGGTTAGGTTAGGTCATGTTAGGTTAGGCTAGGTCACAATCGACTTGAGAATGGTCCAGGACGGACCGAAACGTCGTCGTCCCTTCACATTCTAGTGTGTGGTCTGGTCATCATACTTTAGCCACGTTATTGTGACTCCTCGCCTGCATAGGCTAGGTTAGGTCATGTTAGGTTAGGTTAGGTTAGGTCATGTTAGGTTAGGCTAGGTTAGGCTAGGTTAGGTCAGGTTAGGCTAGGTTAGGTTAGGTTAGGTCATGTTAGGTTAGGTAAGGTTAGACTAAACGTAACCTTGTTAAGCTTAGTTAGGTAAGTTTTTTGCTTTTAACTATGAGTAGGTGAAGGTTATTTCGTTAGCGATAAGTTCAAACCAGGCCCCACTATCTTTGAAGTATGTTTATCTATGAAAGTGCCTCACTGTTAAGTGTGTGTAGCCTCTAAGTATCACACAAGCCTCTGCTATGTCAACATGTCTAGTTTTAAAGTCTATTTGTCATCACTCGCGGATGCACTCAACACATGCACTCAACAGAAGAGACGAGTGATCGAGGAAGCACTTGTGGAAAATAACCCACTGTCATGTAAAATATAATAGTATAGCACATATATATATATAAGGCTGTAAATCCATAATTCACTGGTACAAGGAGACCTCGTGGTTGATAACGCTATATATAGATCAGGATCTATATATATACGTCATGGCTATATACAGAATATAGCCAAAAGGCCTTCTCAAACAATAACAAATTTGCAATCAAAGAAACTGTTGACGTCATGGGTGACTGAAGCAAAACGCAAGAAAATCCACAATTGCCTGAAAATAATCAATTATATTTCATATTTAACGAAGGTAATATCACCCCTAAAAGGATGTTAGCATAGGTACATAAGGTGTAGGTTAATATACGTACACTGAATTGATTTAATCAAAATAAATTAAGGAGAACGAGAACAAAATGGTTTTCTAAATCCGTCTAGGCAGCTACTGGTCTCACGAACGCCAGGGAGGCGACACTAACCAAAGCGAGTGTAATTACTTCTTCATTCGTCGCCCTTAAATCAACACAACAACACTTCTTCATGAGGACATGACTCGTACTTCACAGTATGATTACAGTGTACACTGAAGCACCAGCTGGGACACTGTACCACTGTATCACCAGCTGGGACACTGTACCACTGTATCACCAGCTGGGACAGTGTACCACTGTATCACTAGCTGGGACAGTGTACCACTGAAGCACCAGCTGGGACACTGTACCACTGAAGCACCAGCTGAACAGTGTACTACTGAAGCACCAGCTGCAACAGTGTACCACTGAAGAACCAGCTGGGACAGTGTACCACTGAAGCACCAGCTGGAACAGTGTACCTCTGAACCACCAGCTGTGACGGGAAATAAACCATCATGTGCAGTGTGCATCACGCTTACACAATCACACACCCACAGCACCAGCACACAAACACACCAACACACCTCCCCACACAAGAGCCTCCACGCTCTTACTCACAATTACCAGAGCAAATTACTCTAACTTTATCCACGCGACAGATTTACAATGCAAGAGTAAAGTGCACTCATAATACCTTGACTAATATGGAGAGGCGTGAGACGTGGCACCTCCTGGCACTCCCTGGCACCTCTGGCAGTTACTGAGGCACAGCTCTGAGCACAGTGTCAAGTGGCATATCAGAGCCATGACCTTGGGCACAGCTGTTTGTCACAACATTGTTTAATTACAATTATTATTATTTGATCATTTTCTTAAACTGTATATAGTAACTATACAACTGAGAGACATATAACTCAAAATCAATTGTTAAAACGAGGAAAGGGGTTGGTGAAATTGGCAGTTTAGTACCGACAGTTGCCGCCAGGGGGGACTGGAGCAATTATCTGGTTATTATGTAAATTGAGAGTGTAGGAGAGCTGACATATTGGTCTAGCTGTTTCATAACTATTTGTTACCTAATATATACTCAGAGGACCGGATTTATTGGGATTTTGTGGTGACTAACATTCGACAAGCCGCCGGCTTCCTGTCCTCGTCGAGATCACTAGTGTTAGTGGCCCTCAGGTAAACTCAGGTAACGACAGACTGTGCACAGAGTAGATACCTGGAGATATCTCCAAGGGAGTGCATTCAGCTCACAGGGGCCTGACGGCTGAGTGGACAGCGCTCGGCATTCGTAGTCCTAAGATTCCGGGTTCGATCCCCGGTGGAGACGGAAACAAATGGAGCATAGTTTCACACTGATGCTCCTGTTCACCTAGCAGTAAATAGGTACCTGGGAGTTAGATAGCTGCTACGGGCTGCTTCTTGGGGGTATGTAACAAAAAGGAGGCTTGGTCGAGGACCGGGCCGCGGGGACGCTAAGCCCCGAAATCATCCCAAGATAGTCCTGAACATTGTCCAGGACTAAAGTATACTCCCAATGTATACAAATCGAAAAGCGTGGTACTCTTCTCGGTGTATATCTCCCCTTGTATATATTGCATACACACCAAAGAGCCAGAGCTCAACCTCCGCAAGCACAATTAGGCGAGTACATTCGTTTGTATATATTCATTTTTCACTCATCGTCTCTGTTGATACCATACTATACCAACCCACCTGTAAGACATTGCCCAAATGCTACTTAATGCAGACGCACGTCCCGTCTTCATAACTGATACAACCTGTCCTCATCCAGCCCGTCCTCCAAGCAAACACCACAAAGGTCCATTCCATGCACCCGCCAAACCCGCTGTTTGTGAATTAAAAACGGTTTACACACGACTCACAACTGATATGACGTTCGAACACTTCCGGAACAAGTGCTTCACTGACGACTTGTGTTTGAACCACAACGCTGTAAATGCTTCACCCGCGTACTACAAATACAAATAATCGCCAACAGAACCTAAATAGCTAACGTAACCAGGGCCTACATATGTACAATATGGTCATATAAAATAATATTAATATATATCTGAGAAAATTTCGGTTTTAAATGAACCGCATGTTAAAATTGATGAATGCGTCTTTGGGGTCAACCGCCTGATGGAATGGCCTTGGTGTGACGACGGGTTGCGTAACCACAGATAATTATCAACAGACTCAAAACATCGGTGGAGCTGTGTGGAGAATATTTAGTAGCAGTCCTGCGGCCAGATTCACGAAAGCACTTACGCAAGCACTTAGGAACGTGTACATTTTCCTCAATCTTTGACGGCTTTGGTTACATTTATTAAACAGTTTACAAGCATGAAAACTTGCCAATCAACTGTTGTTATTGTTATAAACAGCCTCCTGGTGCTTCGGAGCTCATTAACTGTTTAATAATTGTAAACAAAGCCGCCAAAGATTGAGAAAAGATGTACAGGTTCGTAAGTGTTTGCGTAACTGCTTCGTGAATCTAAACCCTGGTCTGGAGCAGTTAAACAACCGTTTCTACGGGAGAAGAAAAGTGATTCCAAGCACCCGCCAAACCCCCTGTTTATGAATGAAAAGCGGTTTACACACGACTCACAACTGCTGACGTTCGAACATATCCGGAACAAGTGCTTCACTTACGAATTTTGTTCGAACCACAACGCTATAAATGCTTCACCCACGTACTACAAATACTAATAATCGCCAACAGAACCTAAACACCTAACCTAACCTATCCTATGTCTATATATACACAATATGCTAATATATTATAATATTAATTTACAGAACCTAAACACCTAACCTAACCTATGCCTATATATGCACAATATCCTAATATATTATAATATCAATTTATATTTGAGAAAATTCCTGTTTTGAATGAACAGCATGTTAAGATTTATGAATGCGTCTGTGGGGTTGACCTCTGGATGTAATGGACTCGAGTCGAGGACGGGTTGAGTGAGGAACACCTCTGGATGTAATGGACTCGAGTCGAGGACGGGTTGAGTGAGGAACACCTCGTGGAGTGATCGGTGCTCGAGAAGTACATGCAAAAGCGGCGCCGAGTGAAGAGTCACTCACCGGGAAGAGGTCTCAACGTCATAGGTCGGTGACGAACTACGAGGCGCGTCTACAGTCCACTTGGTCTACGATCTGTAAGATAGTTAAATTGCCCTCCCATTTCCCCCCTTGTGTTAGGAGCTGTGTTATATACAAATAAAGTGATATTCAGAAAATACGTGAGGAGTGACATCGTACATAAAGTAATATTATCATGAATTATTGTCAGTGATTATTTTCATTAGTTGAACAGTGATTTAAAGGCTATTAAAGAGGCGTTATACTATTGAAGTTACTATTGTTAGTATATACTATTGAGGCGTTATAATATATATTTATATTTACATAATGACATAAGTTTGGTTAATAGATAGCCTCATAACTTTCTATTTGGAAACAGTGGAGTGTTGCCGTGAATAATTTCAAGAGTGTTGCCATCGAACTGATTTAGAGATTTTACAGACCAGAATAGTCGAATTCTGGTCTGTAAAATAAGCCAGAAAAAAGCTTATTGTGAGTAAACAAGTTATATTTGTCTACAATTTCCCTCCTCTTCATCATCTGCCTTGTGTTGGCGTAGGGTTTACTGTGCACCACACTACTGCTGAAGTAGCACTAGACTGGGAGAGAAGATCAACGTCCCACTGTGTTGGAAGTATTACTTGACCGCGTATTCTACCCCCTTACGGGGGTAGGCTATAATCTACCCCCTTGGGGGTAGAAATAGCCTAAGTTACTCTATCTTTTTGAGATGTATTTCTTTCTTATCTCAATTAACATACTTGTACTTGACCGCGGAGGAAGGCGAGGCAAGTTGGCGACCTTGTGACTAACCTTATAGATGAACAACTCGACTTAGGTAAACCTTGAGGTTCCATGTCCTCACACACCCCAGCAAGGGTCGAGTTACCTCACTCACTGCAGGGTACGAGGCTGGGATCGGTGCTACTCCCGTAGGACGACTGAGGTGCTCCCCAGGGGTGAGCAGAGGCACCTAGGGAGGGGAGTAGTGCTCCAACAAAGAGCTCTAGAGTGGAGGGTGTTGCGGCACTCCAGGGCGGACACCGTCGAGTGCTCAAGAGGAACATTCGACTCCCTCTACGGGCTCACCATAGCCCGTGCTACTTGGAACTTTTTGTTCCAGGTAGCGAATCTTAAACAACAACATTCGACTACTTATAAGGCAGAATACGCCGGAGTGTAATTGGCAATTCTGTCGGGATACCTACTTGAAGGGCCAAGACCCGTCACACTATACACAAGGCTATATTATATAAACTTCACGTGAAGAAATGCTGATTTTGATTAAACAGTTTGGGCAAATTGACGAATACGTCTTAAGGGACGACACCAGCTCGGACGACCATATCTTGACGATTAGTTCTAAATATCAATACTATATTATTATAATATTGATATATAAAAAGGGAACCCGGTGTTGCTCGGGTCAACCAGGTCTCTGTGTTTGTGTATCTGTATGACTGTATCTCAATATAACTGTCTCCCATTGTTCATGTGGAGTGCTGTACTTGATTGATTGGCACCGACCCTAATCCGACCATGTTGGGCACATACCCAACAACAATCATTATGAAAAATTGGTTGAAGCTTGCCCTAAGCGTCTGGTCTTAATGTCAATCTTAGAGAGACTGACATTCTAATTTATATAGATGAACTGAGACCTATTATGACCTCTACAGTTAGTAACATTGATTCTTTTCATAATTGATGAATGGGAATACTTGAAGAGTTCACGTTGACAACGGGAATCAACACTGTCACCAGTGTGTCCCCCTGAGGAGGTCACGTGACGTAGACAAGTGTCACGGTACATTGTAAGACTCTCCCACTACTTTTCCCCCTAGATTGACATGGTAATGGCCAGAGGGAGGACATGTCTCTCTGACGTGGTAATTACCAGGGTGGACATGACATGTCCCTCTGGCATAGTTCACATTAAACCGTCCACTTAACAAGTCGAGAAACGCTGTAATTTTAATTACAAAACCCCTGAAATCATCACCTTGAATGCAAAATTGACTTACAACAGATAAAGTCAAACCCGCGAGGAAAATGCAGCGTCCGTCAATAATGGTCTTTATTTAACTCATTATACACATGAAATAATGAAATAATTGCAACATGTACTGTCGAAATATATGAAGTGCCGGATTTATTATAAGTGTTGCATGCAATTATTTCGACTCTTTCTTGATAATTATCTCATTAAAGAATTTAAGGTGTTGCAGCGTACTCTTCCGCTACCCTTAAATTAACACTAAGTTGACTGCCTTTCGAATGATGCACGATATGTGCATTTGCAGGGGATAGATGCAGGGGGGGGGGGGAGGGACGCAAATGGAGGGACGCAAGGTAGAGACGCAAGCGCAGAAACCCCTACCCTCATGGGATGAGGCGAGGCAGTACTGAGAGACAGACACCAGTCATGGCTCCTGCCACACTCTTGGTAATGGTGGTATCTCTCTTGACTGTCCCTCGCACCACAGCTGCCTCACTGATGACGCCGCTGACACCCAGTAGACCTTCCCAGCAGCTGCAGCGAGCTGTTGTTGACGCTGCTCGAGGACCGCTGCGCGACAACTGGGTGATTCTCCTCGTTGACGTTTCCTCCGAGCCTCTGCTGTCTGTCCAATACTTATTGGATGCCCTTTATGCCGAAGATTACACTCAACCGCTAATTCTGGTGCGTACACGACCTAATTGGCAGGACCTGCTGC